ATTCATTTCCCCACTGTTTCATGGGAATGACCAAGCCTGGAGCAGGTTGCACAGTCCCAGCAGGAGAGGGGCACTCCTCTGCTCTCCCCGCCCTTGATGGGTACCCCTGCCACTCAGCCTGCAGCTGCTCTCCAGGCCTCCTCTTCCCAGCTCCCCGGCCACCAGCTCCACCTTAGCCTGGTCAAGGCAGAAGCTGCAGCCCTCGACTCAGTGCTCCTCAGGCCACTGCCTTCCATCATGCCATCACCCTTGCAGTTTTCTGCCGCACTGCACCCAACCTGGGCCTTGAGGAGAGCAGCAGGTGCCCTGCAAGGGTGACCACCCAGCTGTGGGAGTGGAGCAAGCCAGGCGCACAGCTCCTGTGAGAGGCCCCCCAGAGCTCCCGACCCACAGCAAGGACCAGCTCGCAGGGAGAATTTAGTTTGCAGAGGAAACGAATCTGCAGCAGAGGAAACGAATCTGCAGCTGCCCGCTGGGAGCAGCTGCCACCCAGGGAGCGGTTTGCAGCAAGAGACATTGTCTCTGCACACGGCCTGCTTCCATTAGTGCAGGGCTCCCACGGCCGTAACAAGCACCCAGTGACTGGGGACAGAGGCGACCCTGCCTGCTACATACTTGGTTTTGGTCTCCAAAAGCTCTATGTGTCTGTTGCCTTTGGGCGCAGCCACTCCTGAAGCCACCTTCCCAGGGTGCTAGGGATGGGGCAGTGAGTCTCATCTAGTTCCAGGATAAAGTGGAGCTGGAAATTGAGCATCCTTGGAGACCCAGCCACTCTGGCCATACAGCCTCCCTCCACCCATCCGAGCCACCGACTTCCAGGAGGGGACAGAGCCAGGGGCAGAGCTGACCAGATCTGACCTGCACCTGCCTGCACCCTGCACAGCTCCTGGGACCATCGTGAGATGGTCTCTTTGGTGGCCTGATGGGCATAGGTCTTGCCTCCTTCTTCTTGCATAGACCAGGGAGAATTCCAGGGACAGGGCTGCCCTGGCCTTGTGCCCTGCCCCACCAGTGCCCTGGGGACAGTGCTGCAAAGAGCCTGGCCCCCTCTCCTGTCCCCGCAGCTCCTCACGGTGCAGCAGCCCTGCTCTGTATCCATTTCCTGGGTGTGCGGGAGTCTCCTGGCCTCCACCCTCCACCCACCCTGCTCCCCACTCCACCCCGTCTTCCCACTTGCCACACCTAGTGCTTCTGGTCTGCGTGTGGCTTTTCCTCCACAACTCCACTATTGCATCCCTTTCATGTAAAACGTGGCCTTCCTCCTTGTCTGCTCTTGGAATAACCTTGTGCTATGCACACATCTTCCCAGTGGAGCTCCCTGGAGGCAGGGCCAAGGCATCCTGGGGGCTGCAGTGCCCAGGACACTATGGAAGCTGCTGCTCAGGGTTCCTGGGATGGAAACCCACTTCTTTTGTGCTTTTTTTTTTTTTTTTTTTTGGTCCTTTTGAGGCAGGGTCTCACTATGCAGTTCAGGCTGGCTTTGAGCTCACTTTGTAACCCAGGCTGGTCTCAAACTTGCAATGATCTACCTGCCTCAGACTGCTGAGTGCTGGGATCACAGGTGTGTGGCACCATCCCCGACTCCTGTGTGCATTTTAGCACCCTCATCTGGAGAGAGATAAGACGGTGTGCTTTCTGCATGGCCAGGTGGCAGGGATCAGTGTTGACTCCTCAACTGGAGCCTGCTATGCCCTATCCCAGGCACCTCACACTCTACACCAGGACCACACACACTGAGAAGGGGAGGAGACACAGCTGGGGCCAAGAGGCCACCACTGTTATGGAGACCAGGTGCCATGATAGGCGGAAGGGGGGTCCCAGAGAACATGTGAGAGAGGACCCTGTTGCCTTCCCACAGTGTCAACATCCAAGAAAAAGAGACAGGAAAGGAGCAGCCAGGGCTTTCAGGCTGCGGGATACCTGTGCGGAAGGACAGAGCAAACCGGGTACCAGAGTCCATTGTAGCTGCAATGTGGGGACAGGGAATAGTGGGGGTGCAATCCAGGAAGAAGGGCTGTCCCCAAAACACAGTGAGCCTTGACAGGCACAGGGCAGCAGGCTGGGCAGAGCAGTGGCCTCAAGGGGAGGCCTGGAGTCGGACGCCCAGGCCAGGCCCAGTGAGGGATAACAGCACAGGGTTTGCCGTAAGCTGGGCATGCAAATGTCGGGCTCCTGCTTATGGGAATGGTTGCTCTGCCAGAAGGGTGACATTTTGCCCCATCCTCTAGCTACTCTGACACCAGACACCATCCTGTAAGGCATGACACAGACAGGGACAGTCCTCAGGCGGCTCCTTCCTGAGGTCATGTTAGTGGTGTATTACCGCCCTAAAAGCTGAAACATAAGCTGACCCCCAGCATTACACACACACTTGTGGTTGCAGTATATTTTGTGTGAGGCATACTAATAATTAAACCTAGGGCTACCCTCTACTACTGAGTGACATCCCCAGCCCTTTTGAAATTTTATTTTGAGACAGGTTTTCACTAAGTTGGCTCACTAGGCTGGCTTCACACTTGAGATCCTCCTGCCTCAGCCACCCAAGCAGCTGACATTACAGGCATGCAGCACCATGCTCGGCTATACTTTTCTTTTTAAGTAACATTAATACACTCTGGGAGATGCCATGCTGGATGGAAGGCGCCTTTGCTGTAGGGAAGAGTGTGTTTTAGTGGTGTGGATTTACAAGGTGCTGGGGCAGGCTAGGGAGGGCTAAGGAGTATGTGCCCAAGCGTCCTAGCCAGAGTACAGCCATCTGCCCCCAGAGTTGCAGGGCCCTTGGGGTTAGGGGCTCCAGATGTGCTGCAGATGCCTTGGCAGGGGGTTCTGGAAGGTGACCCGGCAGGAGTCCTTTCCACACCCCTGGTGGAAGCAGATGCCAGGTTTCCACTGAGCACCTGTTCCCCTCCCCAGCAGGGCCAGTGACCTCATGTCCCTCCGATGCTGTCACCCCTGAGGAGGTGGCAGTGTCCAGATGAGGACAGCATGCAGCACTGAGTCCCTTCAGCAGCACCCCTGCCTCCGCCCCTTTCAGGCTCCTGGGCCCTGGAAGGCTTGGGGTGTCACCCTCCCAAGGTGTGGCTGCTGCCTGTGCACACAGCCTTGCTCCCGGCAGAGGGAGTGATCAGGTAGGGGGCTCAGCAGTCAGTGCCCCAGCAGTCCTGGACCCCCGTAGAACCTGTTTGTGCTCCTCAGCCCCAGCACACTGACCAGGAGCCCCAAGAGCCCCAGGTCTTGGACTGCAGGGCTGTCCCTGCCTAGAAGCTCCTGGGTTCTAAGCTTTTTCCTGCCACATCCCCAGTCTCCGGGAGGAAGGCACTGGCGCCCCCTGCTGGCCATCACAGGCTTTGACCTTTGACCTTTGCGCTGGGCCCAGCCAGGAGCAGAGACACCCACCTCTCCAGGGCTCGGACCTAGGGTGCCATCCCATTCCCCAGGGCCTCTGGAGCTAGGGAGCTCTGGCTGCTGGCCAGGTTGCTGGGCCTTGACCAGGCTGTCCCAGGCTCTGCTGGGGTCAGTGCCAGATGCCACCGGACCACCTGGGTCAGAGGCTCTCTGGCCCCCACCCCACAGAGGGAAGGACAGCTGGGACCAAGACCCCAGGCCCCTGTCCGAGGTCTGCCTCTCCTCTGGGGCTCCCGCCCCACTGCTGCACACTCCTTGCCACCAGGGTTAGGATTAGGGTTAGGGAGGACAAGTGGAGGGGTCACTGCAGGAGCAGCTGCCTGGGTGCCAACTGCCTGGGTCCCCAGTGTCAGGGGCTGTTAGCACAGCCCCACCTGCTTTCCTGTTCCCTGCTGCTCCTGTCTTCTTTACTGGAGACCAGGAGAGGGAGGCAGAAGACCCTCTCCAGGAACGGGGAGCAGCGAAGAGACCCTATGACCTGCAGACTGGAGCTTGGGGCCCCTCAGAGACACTCACACAGTGCGGTTGTGGGTCCTGCCAGCACCTCGCACAACCCTGCTGTGGGGCTATGCTGCCACCTACCGGCCTGGTTCCCAAAATGCAGCCCGGGTGAGCCCTGAGGTTACAGGTGCCTCGGATTTCAGGACTGCATGGGAGCAGGGTCTGTTCCGTGGGTAAGCGCTCTGAGGAATGAACACAAGCACTGAGTGCTGGGCAGTGATGGCACTGGACACTGCCCAGTGGGAGCAGGGGCGCCTCCCAGGTTGACAAGGTCTATCGAGAAAGGAAAGCCCAGTGGTGTCAGGCCAACCTAGTCCCTGGGTCAGTGAGTGCTGAGGAGGCCAGGAAAGGATGACCCTGGACTTGGAGAAGGACAGGGTGTTGGTGGAGAGGGAGCAGGGTCCACTGTGTCATGACAGCCTGTGGGCTGGGGCTGATGGCAGTCTGTCCCCTGCTTGACGGGGAAGAAGGCAGGTGGAGCAGGGACCCACGGGGCTTCTCAGGGAACATATTGGCTGGCAAAGGTGTTCGGATCCAAGGGTTCTGGAAGAAAGGGAGGGGCACAGGACAAGTGGGCAGGTCAGAGGTTAATGGCCACTTGGAAAACTATGGCTCCTGTCAGCAGGCAAGGAGAAGCCCCTCACTGCACGTAGCACACTGGGTTTCCAGCACACATGGGCTGCTGAGGTCCGAGCTGTGGCCATGTGGTCCCACTGTGGGCAGGGTCAGCACCCCACAGAAGCTGCTTCCTATGGAAGAGCTCCTGGAGAGACAGCCTGGTGGACAGCAGGCCAACTGGGTGGAGGAAGCGCTGTGTGCCTGGATGCCCCCGGACCAGCCCACAGCTGTTCCTTCCCAAAAGCGTGGCCAGGTGACACATGAGACCTTGCTGCCTCACCCTAAGATAGATTCCTGTGGGCTGAGCTCTGAGGCCACAGGATACCCTGCCTGACACAGGGGACAGCGCACACATGAAGCGGAAGAAAAGCAGTGCACATGTGTTGGTGCAAGGAGAGGATGAGCAAGGGTGGCAGAGAAAGAATGGGAGAACGTGGAAGCCCATGCGGCTGAGAGCTCGTCCATGCCCCCCGCAGGCTGGTGGAGGAGTTTATGCTGTTGGCCAACATGGCGGTGGCCCACAAGATCCACGGCGCCTTCCCTGAGCAGGCCCTGCTGCGCCGGCACCCCCCGCCACAGACCAAGATGCTGGGCGACCTGGTGGAGTTCTGTGACCAGATGGGGCTGGCCGTGGATGTCAGCTCTGCCGGCGCCCTCCACGTGAGTGCAGGGGAACAGGTGGCATCTCGCAGCCCTGCTGGAGGAGAGGACAGGAAGCCTGGGAATCAGGGCTATCCTGGCCTCTGTGTTCTCTCTCCAGGGTCCCTTCCCCTGTGACCAGGTCTCCCCTGAAGCTGGGAAGAGGCCGCAGGGGGCAGGCCTGAGTCACAGGAGGCCCTAGTGGGAGGGGAGGGAGGCTGCAGAGGGTGCCAGGCCAGGCCTGGCTGATTTTTGGCCCAAAGCCTTGGGGCCCAAGCAGAGGGGCCAGGGTCCCTGGAAGCCAGGAATGGTTCCGATAAGAACAGTTCGGGATGCTTTGTGCCTGGAACTAGGCCTCGTGGGGCTGAGGACCCTAGGATCCTGGCTCTAATCCCACAGGAAAGGGGACTTCTCAAGCTTGCACTACAGAGCCCTGGGTGCCCCACATCAGAAAGCTGGGCATCCTTCTGCCCAGGTAGCCACTGATCCAGACCCAGAATGGGCCACAGGCTCTGGGCTCTGCCTGCCCCCAGTGCAGCCATCCGAATCCTTCCCTGGAGCGCATCAGGTAGCCAGCAAGGGACAGAGGCCTAGAGCCACTCCCCAAGCCTGGCTCCATCTCATCTGCGTTTCCGGGTTTGCTTCTAGAAAAGTCTAACAAAAATATTTGGAGATGACAAGTACTCATTGGCCCGAAAGGAGGTGCTGACCAACATGTTCTCCCGGCCCATGCAGGTAAGGACGGGCTGCTTCATCCTCGCTGTGCCCAGGCCCCTGTGGGACCGAGAGAGGCACAGGGACACTCCTGGGGGCAGGAGGATGCACAGGCGGGCCCAGGACAGTGTGCTCCGAGCTCAAGCTCCTGGCTGGTCTGACCTGGGCTGGCCAGTGACCCCAAGTGGGAGAACAGGTCCCAACCTCCACGCCAGCCACAGAGTTTAGCTGGGACAAATGATACCTCTGGCTGGGCTCGGCCCCAGCAGCAGAGTGACCTGAGAACAAGACCACCACTAAGGACTGTTGAGCAGCGGGCAGCAGGGCCACATGCACCAAGAGCCTGGCCCGACCTGGCCCAGACAGAGACAGCCACTTTCCAGGTCTCTGTTCTTGAGAGTGAGGGCTCAGCCAGCCACAGCCCATTTTCTTTTCTGATGCCTGGGAGCTCTACTAGGAATGAAAAGCACCCCACTCCGCTGCCCTGCAGGCTCTGCACCACATGTCCTCAAGCCAGGAGCTGCACAGAGCTCAAAGAGACTCTATTCTGGCTGCCAGCGAGCAGAGGCTGCCCCACCCTACCTAGGATCCAACAGCAGCCAGAGGCTCGGTCCCTGGTGCTTCTGTGCTTGGGCCACGCCACACATGGGGCAGAGCCCGGACAGGGCAATAGCAGCAGGGGCACCAGGGCGGGGCAGTGGAGCCAGGTCCTAAGCACTCTGCTGAGGACACCAGGGCTGGTGGTCACTGCAGGAAACCGCTCTCCAACCACATTCTCCCAGACAGCTTCACCAGCCAGGAGGGCATGGGCCCTTCTCCCCCACACCCCAGCTTGTCCAGGCAGTCAGCCACTGCTGAGACCAGGACCCAAACGGCGTGTGTGGAAGGCTGCGCCTTTTCCACCAGCAACAATCCTCTACCCAGCACGACCCAGAGCCCAGCAGATGCTGGGAGAGAAGCGAGTCAGGAGCTGCATGGTCCCAGTCCCGCCAGCTGGGCCTCGGGTTCTGGGGCCCAGTACATGGAGCAGCGTAGGCCACAGCTTGGCCAGGCACTCCTGGACAAAGGCGCTCCCTGTTTAGGGCCTGCACCAGGTCTAGGCTGAGCTAGGGCTGGGTCCCCAGGGAGGCTTGCACCTCCCTGCACCCCACCCAAAGCCTTGCCCTAGGCTCTTTTGGCCCCAGGGCAGGTGGGGGGGGGGGGCGGAAGGGGTGGCTGACTTCCCCCCTTGGCTGGTGTACAGGGGCACAGGATACAGCGTACAGATGTGGCCACAGGCTTTGTGCCAGGTGGGATTCAGTCACCTCCCATTCTGGCCAGGTGGTGACCTTGGCTTTGCGTCCCCTAAGACATCGTTCCAGCTGCCTCAGCTTCTGCTTGACCCCCAGCCCTGGCCAGCGTGGCCCCTGGTGTCCCTGTGCCCTGTCCTGAACCACAGCCCCATCCCAGGAGGGGCAGACCAGAAAGCACCTGCCTACTCTTTTCTGCCAGGGACCCAGTGGCACAGGCCCTGGGAGGAGGAGGCTGCTCAGGGTCCTGAAAGCTCCTAGCACCCCCTCCCCTGCAAAGCCAGGGCTGTCTGGGTGGTTTGGGGCGAGGCCACCACGCACCTGGAGCAGAGCGGGGTCTGCGCACCTCACGTGCGACGTGCCCGGGTGCCAAGCCCTGTGCAGCCTCCCCGGTCTGCCCGCGGGGTCTCCCTGAGTGCCAGAGGTCTCACATGCCACACACGTGCCGCCCGCAGATGGCGCTGTACTTCTGCTCAGGGGTGCTACGGGACCAGGCGCAGTTTCAGCACTATGCCCTCAACGTGCCTCTCTACACACACTTCACCTCCCCCATCCGCCGCTTCGCCGACGTCCTGGTGCACCGGCTCTTGGCCGCGGCGCTAGGTAAGGCGCCTGTGTACTCAGGGCCACCCACGCGAGTTGGGCAGCCGAGCGCGGGGGCGCCAAGGCCCCGGCCACCGGTCACCCGCCCGGCCCTTCTTCCCAGGCTGCGGGCAGCAGCTGGAGGTAGAGCCTGACGCCCTGCAGAAGCAGGCTGACCACTGCAATGACCGCCGCATGGCGTCCAAGCGGGTGCAGGAGCTCAGCACTGCGCTCTTCTTCGGCATCCTGGTCAAGGTAAGTGCCCATCCCCCGCCTCCCACCCCTGGGGCACCTAAGGGCCCAGAGGACCCCAGACTGGAGCACTGTCCACTGCAGGAGAGCGGGCCCTTGGAGTCCGAGGCAATGGTGATGGGAGTCCTGAACCAAGCCTTTGACGTGCTGGTGCTGCGCTTTGGGGTGCAGAAGCGTGTCTACTGCAATGTGAGTACCACAGGGGTGCCACCCGCCCAGCCCTGCTCCCCTACTGTCCCCTGCCTGTGGGAGAGGTGGGCTGCGGAGCTCTGCCATGTCCGTGCTGAGCTCTAGGTAGCGCTGACCCCAGGCAAGCCCAGTGGCCCTGCCAAGTCACCCACTAGGCCCGTGTGGGATGGGGACGCTTTCCCCAGGACCTGGCACCCAGAACAGGCCTGGCCATGATCAGCAGAGAGGGCAAAGGCCAGGGGAGACTGTGCTGCCCTGCAGAGGAGGAAGAGCCCTGCCCAGCCTGATGCCTGCCCTGGGCTACCCTGAGCTCAGCGCCTGCTGGTGAAATAGCACAAAGATGGCCTGGCCTGCACCGGAGGTCACTGCAGGGGACCAAAGGCCAGGTCCGGGCCAGCACTGCCATCCCCAAGCCCATGGGGCTGCGGGGGATTCGAGAGCCCCACTCCTGGTTCTGGCTCTCGGTCCCCCTCAGATGGGGAGAAGCAGAAGCCAGGTTGGGGTGGCCCTGTCCCAGGGCAGAGGACACCCCCAAGCCCAAGGCTGTAGGTTAGGAAGCGACACCCTAGGCCTGAGGCCTGAGGTGCTGGCGTGTGCACCTGCAGGCCCTGGCGCTGCGGTCCTATCACTTCGAGAAGGTGGGCAGGAAGCCTGAACTCACACTCCTGTGGGAGCCCGAGGACCCTGAGCAGGAGCCAGTGCGGCAGGTCAGCACCTCACTTGTGCCCTGTGTCCCTGCCCATAGCCACACCCTCACACATCTCCTACAACCCTCACTGGGGACCCCCATGGGCAGAGGCTGGTAACTGGGGGGGTCCTGTGGGAACCTGACAAGGGCCCCAGACCTCTCACCCTGTGCTCACCGAGAGCAGCCTCACCTGGCCACCCAGTCCTTGATGTCCCCCACTATCCCCTGCTAACCCCCAGCTGTGTACACAGTACCCCTGGCCCCTCTGCCTCCCCAGGCTTTGACCTCAGGCCCCTTCTTTGTGTCCCCTGCCCCTGGTGTCTCGGCCACAGGTCATCACCGTCTTCAGCCTGGTGGAGGTGACCCTGCAGGCGGAGGCTGCAGCCCTCAAGTACAGGGCCATCTTGAAGCGACCGAGCCCCGAGGGCTGTCCAAGCCTAGAGGGCCAGGAGCCAGAGCCAGAACCCTAGGATGTGGAGCCCAAGGCCTGAGCCGGCCAGAGCACCTGTCCTGTTCACCTGTGGTTTTTAGGAAAAGGACCTTTTGACACCAAAGGGGACTTTTAATTTGGTTTTTAACAACTCAGGGGTTTGTTTTTATTTTTATTTTTGCATCTCAGTTTTAAAAAAAAATGAACTGGAAGGGAGCAGGTGGGACAGGGTGGAAGGCTAAGGCCTGGCCAGCGTGTCCCCCAACAGGGAGCACCCTGGTCCCTGGAGACCAGGCCATGCCACCCCCACCCCCTGCCTGGGACCAGGGTCAGCCAATCAGTGTCACGGAATAAAATCAAGTGTGAAGCACCCTGTGCGGAAGCCCAGAGCCTGGCTCAGGGTCCACCCACACAGCCAGGCCAGGGCCAGTGTCCCTGGCCCCTTCCTGTCCACTGCAGGGTGATTCACAGCTGGCCATGTGGCCAATCACCACAGAGTTGTGTCATCTGTATGCATGGCGCTGGGTCACCATCACCCTGCACTGGGGCTGTGTCCTCGCCCTGCCACTAACTTCCATTTCAGTCGTCGCGCTGGAGCCCCCACAAAGCTGCACCACACCCCATGATGAGAGCTCATGTCGTAGGACAGGGTGTGGCTGGGTCTGGAGGGGAGATGCCTTCTAGCCGCCTGCCACTGATGGGGTCCAGCTCCGGAAACCCCGCCTGGCACCTGAGCACCCTCAGGGACCCAAGGCATAGACAGGCCACCAACAGCCTCGCCCTGCACTCCTTCCCTCTGGCTGGACAGGCAAGGCTAGCATCTCTGGGGCATCAGGAAGTGGAGTGAAGCCATGGCTCCACTGCACCCTTTCCCGAAGTGCCACCCCTAAGACATCCCCTCTGCCTGTCTCCAGAACCTTCCAGAACCTTCTGGGAGCAGCTATAGGAAGAGGGGAGAGATGGTGTTTGGGGGAGAGGCCCTCTGCATGCTTCCCGGCCCAGGCAGTCCAACTGTGTGGCCCAAGAGTGACTGCCCTATCACTAACACCGTGCCACTCCCATCAGCCCCAGGCTGTCCCTGTCCCCAGGGGTCTCCACAGTGATCAGCCAAGAGCAGCCGAACTGGCATGAGGAAGCCTTTTGCTTGTGCTTCATGGCGCTAGGACATGATGGCACCCAGAAGCTGTGGAACCCAGCTGCTTCCATGTGACAGGAAGGAAAGTCCCCCACAGGGACACAGGTCTCCTCCTGTGGTGGCAGCCAGACTTCCAGCTATGACCAGGGCTCGGGTGCCTCCCTTCGCATAGCCAGCCCTTGCAGCCAGGCATGGTGGGCACACATGGCATCCAGCACTTTGGAGGCTGAGGCAGGAGGATCACCCTCAGTTCGAGACCAGCCTGGGCTCCTCAGTGAGTCCAAAGCCAGCCCAAACTACACAGCGAGACCCTGTGTCACAAAGACAAAGCAGATGGCCCAACAGCCTCCTGACCCTGGAAAGTGGGGTCCTTTTTCCTCGTTCATTCAGTGGCGACTGTAGCAGAGGCTCCCAAAGCACTCCTGTGATCCCCAAGCTAGAGAGGCTGAGGCAGGAGGATCACTACAATCTTGGGGCCTGCAGAACTACATATTGAGGCTGTCAAGAAACCAAAAAGAATAAATGCGTTACACTCGGCTCCCAGTACCAGGCGAGCAGGCTGTTACCAGAGGGCTGCTGATGCTGGTTCTGCAGAGCGGGGTGAGCAGAAGCGCTCTCGCCAGGACGGGGCAGGCACCCAGCCAGGCCCTGGGTACTATGGTTGTGCCAAGTGGATGCTAGGACCACAGCACCTTGGCCCTGCTGGCCCCAGAAATAGCAGAGGGGAGCGACCTGCCGGGATTGAGGCAGATGGTGTCCCGAGAGTTTGGAGAGAGCACAGGCCCCGCCAGGGTGCCATGACTTCCGTGTAAGGAGCAGGGCCAGGGCATCTGCACAGAGGTTGGGGGCGGCTGAGACAGCTTCAAGGGGTGAGATGGGGTCTGTGGGCAGCAACAGGGCGGCCCCGACCTCAGTCCTCCTGTCTCACTGCCTCGAATGGCTGGCGATCACATTTATACAGGAAAACCTTTTTTGGGGGGAAGTGGTTTTGAGACAGGGTCTTACTGTGTGGTTCAGGCTGGCCTTGAACTGAAGCAGTTCTCTGCCCAAGCCTCCCAAGTGGTGGGATTTCGGCCTGCCACCACCACATCTGCAATCTCTCTTTCAGCTGGTTCAGTGGCACGTGTCTGCAATCCCAGGGCCTGGGAGGCTGAGACAGGAGGATCTCAAATCTGAGCCCAGTTTCAGTAACTTAATGAAACCCTAGCTGAAAAATACAATGGGACTGGGGGTGTCGTTCAGTGTGAAGGCCCTGGGTTCAGTCCCTACTGCCACACACAGTCACAAAGGATCTAAGTGACCCCTAATCACAGGGAGGGTGGCGAGATGGGAAAACACTGGTCTTCACACCCACACCACACTCCTCCTTAAGAAGTGGGGACCTCACAATAGCTGCAGAAACCTGGAATCCTTGTCGCTCCCTGTATCAGAACAGGCCCTGTTTGTAGGACACGCCCATGGCTTGGGGCTGCAGGGACAGGCCTGGTGGCTGCCAGCCCACAGCCACTGCCAAAGGACCTTGGGATGACACAGGGAGATGCAGTGCCAACCTGCTAGATGCCGGCTCCACAGAACTTGAGTTCCCGCAGGTCAAGGAACAGGTTCTGAGGGACGACCAAGGCTAAGAGCAGGGAATTTTCCCAGGGGGAATGGCTCATGAGAGACAGGGGGGACCCAGGAGTGGGTTGCCAGCCGCCCGCCTCTCAAAGGCAGTTTCATAGAGCACAGTCAGGAGGTGGGTACAGCTCAGGGCAACCTGCAGTCACCCAGATCACAGGGGCAGCCACCCAGGTAATGGTCCACTGGGGAAGCCAGGCACAGAGCACGCGTGCATGGGAGGAGCACGGACGTTTTTAGGGAGAGATAGGTCAGGAGGGCCTGGTCACCCACCTGGGTGGCTGACGCCTTCTAGGCCGTTGGACCAGACTGTGTGCATCACTTGTCCCCTGGGAGGCGGCAGGCCTGGTCCCTCAGCAGATGTGGCCCCAGCCATGGTGGTGCTGCAGTCTCCTCCGTCCTGGGTCCCTCGAGGCCGGCTCTGCCTGCCCGCCTAGGGTACTCTCACCTGACTTAGCTGTCTTGGATTCCACTGCTGTCAGCTGTGGCCCAGCCCTGACCAAGCCACCAGTGAGATCCTCGAGCAGGATTGCACTGAGAAGTGGTGCAGTGTCAGGCCTTTGGGGATAGGGTATTGTGCCTGTGGCACAGGACCACGCGGCGTAGCCTGGTGCACTAGTCCTCCCTAAGGCTGAGGCAGGAAAATCTCAAATTTGAGCCCAGCTTGGGCAATTTGGCAAGATGCAATGTCAAAAAAGAGAAAAAGAGAATGTAAAGACCTTAAAAGGCTGAAGCATTGCAGTGGTTCGATCCCCAGAACTACCAAAAAGACACCTTTGAACTGACGACTGCAGTGTGTTATTTAGGAACTGCAGTAAATACCAGAAGCGATGCAGCAGAGACAGCAATTCCCTCCTCGGAGAGAAGAGAGTGCAGGAGGCAACGGGGAAGCTTCCACAAGCCTCGCTGGTAAATAAAGCTAAAGGCTTGGGCAGAAAAGCTCTGCCTCAGCTTAACAGGCTTCCTGTTCACTCAGCACGCCACCGGTTAAGGCCAGCATCCCGCAGCTCCTGCTCCCTGAGAACTGCCGAGGGCATTAGTTTAAAGTGGCCTGTTTAAAGAGCCAGGCTACCAGCAGGAAAACCTCAGCTCTGAGCCCAGCTGGGCGAGGCCTGGGGCTCACAGGCAAGGGGTCATGGGGGCAGCGGAGAGCAGGAAGCCCACACACAGGGCACCTGTCTGCCCTTCATAGCCCTCTGTGATGCTGTCACAGGCCTGAATCCCAGCACCTGTAGGCTGAGGCAGGAAGGTCACTGAGTTCAAGGCCGGTGGTGGTGTGCTCTGTGTGGCATGAGCTGGAATTCCACATAACTGAACTCAGAATATGAACTTAAAACCTCATCGTGACATACCACCTGCAGCCTGCTCCATCTTTTTATGCATTGTTCTGGTTCCGAGATGTCTTTTCCGATAACTTATTTTTGGAGACAGAATCTCACTACACAGTTCAGGCTGGCCTCAAACTCATCAGGTATCCCAGGCTGACTTTGAACTCATACCAATCCTCCTGACTCGGCCTCCCGAGGCTGGGATTACAGGTATGCACCACCCCATTCGCTGTGCTCAGCCGCTGTTCTTTAAGAAGCTACAGGAAGCAGATTCACAGCAGGGTGTAAACCAAAGCTCATGTCCCCTGGGCTCCTGTGACTCTGGTCCAAGTGAAACTGCTGCAGGCCCCCAGTGGCCACGTGCTTCTCCTTTATGGCCACAGAGCACAGCAGTTTGCCATCGGTCACCCTGGAAGGGACTGCTAGCTGCCGGCCACCCCTGCCACCCCATGGCCGGGCCTCTGGCATCTGCACCTGGTCACCAGTGGGCTAGTGCCCCCAGGGTCACACCCTCAGGCCCTGGCGCTGTCTGCCACCCTGGTGATAGGACAGTCTCCTTCCCATCCCACCCCTGCTGCTCCTGGTAGGACTGGCCAGATGGAGACCCTGCCACAAGGGTCACCAGGAGGGGACTGTTCCGCCATTTCCTGGCTTCAGAGCCTCAGCCTGTGGCCGTGAGGAGTGCCCCATCACCCTTCCCCTGATAGCAGGGTGTGGCCACCTCTCCTTCAAGAAGGAAGCCAGGCATGGTGGCACACACCTATAATCCCAGCATTTGGGAGGCTGAGGGAGGAGAATTTTTTATATAAATTATGGCTAAAAAAACCATAAAATTTACCCTAGCCATTTTCTTTGTTTGGTTGTTTGTTTTGAGACAGGATCTCACTATGCAGTCTAGGATGGGTTTGAAATCACTATGTAGCCCAGGCTGGCCTTGAACTTACAGCAATCCTCCTGCCTCAGCCTCCCTGGTACTGAGATTACAGGGATGCACCACCAAACCCGGCCTTGGCCATTTTCAATATCCAGTTCAGTGGTATTAAGTATGAGGTATAATTTTTTAAAATATGATGTTTAAATTTTTAAAAATGTATCACAGTAAAAGATATTGCCAGTATTGCCTCTCCAAATAGTCTTTCTTCCTTCAAACACACTTATCACTCTTACAGCAGGAGCACTGTCACAAATACCAGGTAGCCACAGCAAAACCCTGTCCCCCCTCAAAAAAAAATCCCCAATGAACCAGTTCTGAGGCCCCAGGAAGAGGGAACTGAACGCAGGTCCAGGCCCTGTTTAATTTATGTCTTTTCCGCTAACGTTTCTCAAAACCCAGTTGCTCATGCATCTGCTTAATGATTTCTTGCCATAGCCACATATTACTTGCAGTGTTACTAATGTTTTTCATTAAATAATTCAGGGTTACTTCCGATAACTAGAGAAGGGTGCGTGTGACCACCACACTAGGAGACATCCAGCTCCTCCCAGCTCCCAGGCCACTGGGCTGGGCCTGGGATTTGCTTGTCCTTCTTAGGCGGGGGTGGTAAAGCTGGTGTGGTGTAAAAAATGTTCTAGAATCAACTGAAGATCCCTCCTCCAAAGACTGCAAGAGGATCAAAAAGTAACTTTCACTGGGTTTGGGCCTTGGGACTCAGTAGGCTGAGGCAGGAGGATCACTGGAGTTCTGGAACTGTTTGGGCAATTTCCTGAACACCTGCCCCTGGGTCTGGAGAAAGAAAGAGCAGTGACATCCTCTGTGCAGCTCAGTGCCATTGATGGTCCTAGGCAGGGGGCAGTTAAACTAGCCACTGTGTCACCGGAAGTTATCTGAAAGGCCTCACTCTGGACGCATGAGTTTGTCACATGAGGAAAACACTCCCTGCCTGCCGCACTGGGTGGCTTGGGAGGCTCAGCACCCCTAGTCCCAAGGCCTGGGGGATGGATGTGGCCTCCATCCAGGAACCCTAGCAGGAGGGGGACCACTAGTCAGGTGGGCCACTGACTCAAGGGCACCTGGGCCCTGCACGGCACTGACAACCCTGCACAGACTGCACCCTAAAACTCTGCAATCTCCTCTAGGTAGAGATTATGTTGCTTACACAGCTGCCCATGTTCCCTTCTAAACCATTAAAAACTAGATAAAGAGCCCTCCTGGGGTACTGGGTGTGGTGGAGCATTGCGCAGTCCCAGCACTGCATGGGGGGAGGGCTGAGACAGGAGGATCTCCACAAATTTGAGGCCAGCCTGGGCTTCATTGTGATTTCAAGACCAGCCTAAGCACACAGTAGAAACCTGTCTCTAAAAACAAACAAACAAAGGCCCTGAGAGATCCTTCCCAGAAACCACTCCTGGCTGACAGGAACCTCTCTTCATTTTATATCCTTTAAATAAATTTGCTTGCGTCTTCCCCCTTTACCTGCATTCCCATAACAACTCCACCTCTCTACAGCCCCCGGGCCAAGCCAATCTGCAGATTTCCATATCAATTTCTGTAAATTGTGATAAAACACAAAACACATACTTTACCATTTTAACTATTTCTAGCCAGGCGTGGTGGCACACACCTGTAATCCCAGCACTCAGGAGGCAGGAGCATCACTGTGAGTCTGAGGCAAGTCTGGGCCTCAAGTGAGTTGAAGGCCAGCCTGAGCTGCATAATGAGACCCTGTCTTGAATGAATGAGTGAATGAATGAATGAATGAGGTCCTTCCAGGTGCTGTGGCATACACCTAGACAGGCTGAGGTAGGATGGCCAGGAGTTCAGGGCCAGCGTGGGCTCCCTGGTGACATCATTTCAACAAAGCAAAACATAAAAACAACAGAGTTCACTATGTTATCCAGGCTAGTTTGATACTCATGCACTCAACTGATGCTCCTGCCTCAGCCTCCCAAGTAGATGAGATTTGTCACCGTGCACCACAGAAATAGCCGATGCAGAGCCTGGAGTGGAGACACAGCTTCTTCAGAGAACTCCCACTCATGGAGGCCCAGGGTAGCGGGGACAGAGGCAGGGAAGGCAGGGCACTAGGTGGGGTCAGGCCCACTGTTACAGGCAGCTGAGTTAGTTAGAAATACTCCAGGCTAGCAGACAGGGCTGGGCCGTCACAGGAGCCAGAGTGGAAATTCAGATACCTCTGACCTCTGAGGAGACAGGCACCTCCCGCTGTGGGCCAGCTCTCCAGACAAAAGGCAAAGCAAATACACCACATCCTAAGGATCCTCAGGCCAAACAGTTCTCTATCACCCAGAGTCAGTGCGTCTGTCCCCTACAGGAAGGGTCACTGCCATTCAGCCTGCCTCTTGCTACTTGACTCCCTTCCTCATTTGTTACTCATTTAATCAGTTTTATCCAAGCAATCTTACTGGTTGACCACAGTTCTGTCTCATGCCCATCTCAACCGAGTTCCCTTTTTCCTCACCTTGAACCGTCTCACCCCATGATTTTACTCTGTAAGTCCCTAGGAAAAACAGAGTCCCTGGCAATGCACTCAGGACCCCTTCTGTCTCTTCAGACAGAAGCTTTCTTTCTCTCAATAAATATATTCTGCTCTTCACCTCCACTGTTCCTAAAATTCATTCTTTGGTTTTAAAGAACATATGACCTCTTATGGGACATCTAGTGGGTGGAGAGTTTCATTCCCCTGTATCACCTGAGGCCTGTGGATGCCTCGAGGGAGGGTTGGGCAGGGCTTCTAGAAAAATGTAAATTGTGATTTAAAAGACAAAAAATTGTCTCACGTGTTTTCTATGATTTTTGGTCTGTTAGTCGATGTGTTCATCTGTATAATTATCTTGACAAAGACATAAAATCAATCTGATGCTGGCAAAAAGAAAAAAACAGGTGGAGAAGGGGGGAAAGTAGTGATTAATTCTGTACACGCACCAGTTCCTCACAATGAGTGTAATCATTATGACTGTGACCGTGTACTAATAAAAATGTTTTTAACGCTGATCAGAAACCTGCAAGCTGAGGGGTTGGCGGTGCAGCTCAGCGCCTCCTTCCACCTGCTCCAGACCCTGCACTCTATTCTAGAGCCGCACACACACAAATTACCAATCGCTTTTGATTCCTCTGGCCTTAGCTTTTTGAGACAGGGTCTCACTATGCAGCTGGGGCCTTGAACTTGAGACCCTCCCACGTCGGACTCCCAAACACGGGGGTCACCTTCGAAGCTCTGGGCTGGGCAGCAAACAACTCTGCGGCTGTGCCGCTCACCTCCAGAACTTTCTCTCCACTGCCACCTCCAAATCGCACAGTCCAGGGCAGGACCATGCAGTCCTCACGTGAGGGGCGGCCGATGTCGCCGAGGGGAGCCCGAATGCTCCCCATCGCGCATGCGCGCACATTTTTATTTAACTGTGGCAGTGGGGACCTATGCACGGGTCGCCCCCACCTCCCAGCCACTGTGGATTCTGGACCTCGGAAGCAGGTTCCTACCAGACAGATACACTCCTAAGTACCACCCCTGTTCCGGGGAACAAGGCTAAACCTCCAACAAGGACGCCAGGCTGCTGCTGCCCAGAGAGGCCCGGCAGGCTCTGGCCTGGGCGTGTGCGGTCCAGGTTCGGCCCCACCCTCTCCTGCACAATAGCCACTCCGGGCCCACATTCCTGGACACTCATCTACCCTGCCAACCCAGGCAAGCAGGCAGTTGGGGCTCAGGGCTGCCAGGTGACTCTGGGGCCGTTCCCTGCTCTTTGGTGCTCTCGGCCAAACTGGGGACTCAGTCCAAGCTGTATCCCTCAAGCCTTCTCTCTGTTCAGCACGTGGGACACAGCTGAGTCCCCCTGGCTCCTGGAATAAAGATCCCCAAAATGCAGTGTTAGTAGGGCCCAGGCAAGGGCCTAGCAGCAGGGCAAAAGCTACCGCCCAGGATGACCCAGGCCCTAACCCTTCCCTAGAGGGAAACTATGGCTCATTCTGGGTGGGCTCCAGAGCACTGACCCCTGCCCCACCCTGGTCCTAAAAACCCCAGGGGGGAGGGTGTGGCGGCTGCCCCACAATTAAAGAGTGACAGAGATTATCACCTCCAGTGGCGATATAAACCCAGGCTGCCCAAGCCGGAGCAGATATCCCTGGGTTCCAGCCTCCTCAGCTGCTGTCACCAGGCCACAGCTGCCACCACCACCACCACCACCGCCGCTGCCAAGCCACCGACACACGCTGCCGCCCCAGCCGCAGCACCCAGCACCATTCAGACATGCGGGGAGCCCAGGTGCCGCCACCCCTGCTGCTGCTGCTGCTGCTGCTGCTACTGCTGGGTCTCAAACTACAGCTGACTCTCGGCACCATTCCAGGTAATGAGGCTCCCACAAAGCCACCCAGCCAGCAGGCACCCCCACCAGACTCACCTGAACTCTCTCCCCTGGGCAGTGGAGGAGGAGAGCCCGAACTTCTGGAACCAAAAGGCAGCTGAGGCCCTGGCAGCAGCTAAGAAGCTGCAGCCCATTGACACGGCGGCTAAGAACCTCATCCTGTTCCTGGGGGATGGTGAGTGAGCGTGGGGCCCCTGAGTCCACACCAGCTCTGGGCCCAGCCTGACAGGTTTCCACCCTCAGGGATGGGGGTGTCCACGGTGACCGCCACCAGGATCCTGAAGGGACAAAAGCAGGGTCAGCTGGGTCCAGAGGCACTCCTGGCCATGGACAGGTTCCCATACCTGGCACTGTCTAAGGTGAGCAGGGGCTGGGATGGGACTGGGACTGTGACGCAGGGGAGCCCCCACAGGGGACCAGGGGCTAAGGAAGGGCACGGGGCAGTGGGCATGGGACCGGGCCTGAGCACGGCTAATGGCGTCTCTGTCCCCAGACGTACAATGTGGACAGGCAGGTGCCTGACAGTGCGGGCACATCCACCGCATACCTGTGCGGGGTTAAGACCAACTTCCAGATCATCGGCGTGAATGCCGCTGCCCGATACAATAACTGTAGCTCACAGAAGGGCAACGAGGTCCTCTCCGTGATGTACCAGGCCAAGAAAGCAGGTGGGCCTGAGGCCAGCCTTGGGGACAGGAGTGAGCCCGAGGGCCTGGGACACCCACTGAGCCTCTGTCTCCTGCAGGGAAGTCTGTGGGGATAGTGACCACTACTACAGTCCAGCACGCCTCTCCAGCCGGAGCCTACGCACACACCGTGAACCGCAACTGGTACTCAGATGCCAACATGCCTGCCTCAGCACTCCAGGAGGGCTGCCAGGACATTGCCACACAGCTTGTCTCCAACATGGACATTGACGTGAGATCAAAGGGCAGGCAGGGGCTGGGTGGAAGGCGGGACCTGTCACTGGCCAAAGTCCCCGGTGTGTTCTGCAGCTCAGCCCTGCAGGCCGCCTGGGTCTCCAGCGGCTGCAGTTGGGCTGGTGGAGGAGGCTAAGCCTGGGATAGAGTCAGGAATGGGAGGAGGGGACAGGTGGCCCTTCAGGTCCAGCTCTACCGCCCCTCATCTCTGAACACCACAGGTGATCCTGGGTGGGGGCCGAAGGTACATGTTCCCCCGAGGGACCCCAGACGCCGAGTACCCAGATGACACCAGTCAGGCAGGAGTCAGACTGGATGGGAAGGACCTGGTGCAGGAATGGCTCGCAAAGCACCAGGTGATGGGGTGCACCAGCGGGGGTCCACAGCGGGGCTGTGGGGATGGGGCCAGGGCTGTGGAGGGCCCAGGTCATGGGTCTCCTGCTCTAGACTGAGGCCTGGCTGTCCCCACAGGGGTCCCGCTATGTGTGGAACCGCACAGAGCTCATGCAGGCGTCCCAGGACCCAGCTGTGACTCGCATCATGGGTAAGCGCCCTGCCCTGGCACTCAGGTGGCCTCAACAGCCGCTGTGTGCTGTGCCCCCCACTCTGGCTACGAAACCTGGCAGTCACCCTGGGGTCCCTTGTCCCTCAGGCCTCTTTGAGCCAGAACACTTGAAATATGAAACCGACCGAAACCAGGAGCTGGAACCCTCCCTGGCAGAGATGACAGAGGTGGCTGTGCATGTGCTGAGCAGGAACTCCCGTGGCTTCTACCTTTTCGTGGAAGGTAAGTGGGGCACCTGGCACAGCAGAGCCAGGTGGGGGAGGGGCATCCAGAAAGGGGGGCATCGAATCTCTGCCCCCTTGGCCTCCACAGGGGGCCGCATCGACCATGGTCACCACGAGACCATCGCTCATCGAGCCCTGCATGAGGGCATAATGTTCGACTCTGCCATTGACAAGGCCAGCCAGCTCACCAGCGAACAGGAAACCCTGACCCTGGTCACCGCTGACCACTCCCACGTCTTCTCCTTTGGGGGCTACACCCTGCGGGGGACCTCCATCTTCGGTAGGCTGGGGACCATAGTGGGTGCTGTCAAATATGATGGCAGAGGCCTCTCAGCCTCATCTGTCCCATGGCCACACAGAGAGCCCTGTTGTGTGGGGATCCTGGGAGGGCTGAGCCAGTGACCAGGCCAGAGGTGTGGGGTGAGGCTGCCCACATGCCCAGGTGGTGGTCAGTGCGGGAACCAGTGCCCTCCTCCCTGCAGGCCTGTCACCCATGACGGCCCAGGATGGCAAGCCCTACACCTCCATTGCCTATGGAAATGGCCCGAACTTCCAGCATCCCAGGGCCTACATCACCCTTGAGGAGACCAGTGAGTGCTGGGGTCCCCAGGGGATCAGAGCCAGAGGAGGTCCAGAATGGAAGCCCGATTGTGCTGACCGTTGTGTCTCCCACTAGGCTCCCCCACCTACCGCCAGTCCGCGGCGGTGCCCCTGTCCTCGGAGACACACAGCGGCGAGGACGTGGCCGTGTTGGCGCGCGGCCCGCAGGCGCACCTCATGCACGGAGTGCAGGAGCAGAGCTACGTGGCGCACCTCATGGCCTTCGCTGGCTGCCTGGAGCCCTACACCGACTGCGGCCTGCAGCCGCCCAGCCCCACAGACGCCCCCACGGACGCTGGTCCAGACTCTGCACTGCCTTCCCTGCCGCTCCTGGCCGGGACTGTGCTATTGCTGCTGCTGGCGGCCACCACTGCGTCCTGATGGCAGGCCCCATGGGACTCCACAGGTTGTGCTGGACTCCACGGGGTGTGCATGTGTCCTCCAGTCTCACCACCCTGCCTCCAGGGGGCGCCCACTCCACGACCTCAAATGTGACCTTCCGTGCTGCATGCTCTTTGGTCTCTGCAGAACCGCCACTGCACCAGGCGAGGGCTCAGGCCACCACTCCCCAACCTGCTGCAGCTGGAGGACCCGGCTGCCTCCCTGGGGCTCCTTCCTGGGCCTGGTTTGGGAGCAAAAGCAGCAATAAAGACTGTGGGACAGCAGGACAATGTGGCACACTGGTTGTCAGCGAAAGAGGCCTGCGCGCTTTGGGGCGGGCAGGCAGGGACCGCATCCTGTTCCCTGTGAGACCTGTGTGCTGTGCCAGGCTGAGGGCTGCGTAGGGGTCTGGGGGGTCAGGCAGCAGGAGCAGCCATGGACTGACAGGACTGTGGGGCCAGGTCCCCTGCTCTGGTCTGGAGGTCGCAGGCTGCCTGCACTCTGTACCAGTTCGGTCCAGCAGAGGTGACCCTGCATGGGGCTAACAGGAACCAGGGTCGTGTCCACATGCCACGCCTGATGCTCCTTGGGATCTCCAGCAGGCCAGCAAGGGCCACCCTGGCAGATGTGGTGGTGGCTCAGGGGGACCCACGCTGCCTGCAGAGAAGCACTCAAGGTCAGCACAGGTTGCAGAGGTGCCACCCAGTCACCGTGCATCCTCATTTGCCACTGCCTGCAGCCCCTTCCTGAGTCCATCCTCGAGTCTCTGCCCGAGGGAATCTTGATCTGGGATTTGGGACCCTGGCTCCTGTGTTCCCACTCTGTAGTCTGGGACACCTCGAGCAAGGGTGGCTGCCAGGAGGACCAGAGCTTGCTCTGGTCAAGGGGATGAGGGAAGGAAAGTGTGTCCCCACCCACCCACCACCACCATCAAGGTCACAGGTAGGTGACCCGACTTAGCCTTGCCCAGCATGCACTAAGTGTTGCTGACCTAAACCCACGTGGTGTGACAGAGGCCAGTGAGGCATAGGACACAGGTCCTAACTCTCAGTGAGCCCTGCCATCCGCAAAGGCGGAGGTTACAGACCTGCCCAAAGCCAGACCCTCCAGGCAGCCTTGCCAAACTGCAGCTTTCTTTTCTTTTGGTTTTGTTTTCTCAACACATAGTTCAGGCCAACTTTGAACTCCTATTTTTTTCTCTTTTATGAAAAAATGAATTCCAATTTTAAGCATCTTTTGAATAGCTTTGAACACCAATTATAAATATCTACCTTCAAGCTAGGCATGCTGGCACATACCTGTAATCCCAGCACTGGGGAAGCTGAGCCAGGAAGATCACCCCAAGAGTTTGGAGTCAGTCTGGGCTACATAGTGAGTTTAAGGTCAGCCTGAACTACATAGCAAGATCCTGTCTCAAAAAGTAAGTATCGAGGCCAGGTGTAGTGGCACATATCTGTGATCCCAGTACTCGGGAGCCTGAGGCAAGATTGTTGTGAGTTTGAGACCAGCTTGGGCTACAAAGTGAACTCAAGAACTGCATAGAGAGATCCTGTTTCAAAAAAGTAAAAAAAAAATAAATTAAATTACAGAGAAGATATACAATCTTCCCAGGAGATCTACAGGAGCTAGATGACTCTGAAAAAAACATATTTTGACATAATCACATTTGCTGCTGGGTGTGGTGGTGCACACCTATAATGCACGCACTTGGAGCCTGAGGCAGGAGGGTCGCTGAGTTCCAGCCCAGCCTGAACTACCAGTGCATAGAGACCCTGTTGCAAAATAAAAAATAAAACCAGTCATGGATAAGCCCTCCTATAATCTCAGCAGGCAGAGAGGTTGAGGCAGAAGAATCATAACTGAGCCCAGTTTGGGTGATTCAGGGCCATAGCAAGATCCTGCCTCAAAAAATATGAAGTGGGCAGGGCTGCAGCTCGGTAGACAGGACCTGGGCTCAGTCCCCCATGCCACAAAAATAAAGGGACGCTGCTCAGTACTCACAGAGAACTCGGCCTCCAAAGGGACCAAAAGCCAAGCGGAAGCCTCAAGGACCCATCTTGATAACGCTTGGCCTTTATTTCCTAGGCGGGGCCCTAGGGGAGGCGGCGCCTGACAACCTGCTGCTCTCACAGTGGCCCATGCTGCCGTTATCAGTGCTTACATGGAAACTACATGTGGTCCCTGCTCATGCCAGAGGCCTTGATCCCACATGAGGTCCCTCGCTCCAGATCCTCGCACTCCCAGCCTGCTAGAGGCCCATCCCCGTCCTGCAATTTCTCTTTCTCTCATAGTTAAATGATGCCTCTTTCTAGCTTAGTACAAAATTAGTCTTTCCCCCTTACAAAAAAAAATACATTTTCTCTCTTTTCTTTGCAGTAGTGAGATTGCACTCTGGTCACTCTACCACTGAGGGGACTGCACCCGCCTCCACCTTCTCCCCAATCCCCACTGTCACCCCCACTCCCCAGCCTTTCTAGTCTGTGACAGGAGCTGGCAAAATTGTCCAGCCAGCCTGGAACCTGTGACCCCCCCCCCACACACACACACACACTCAGCCTCTGGAGCAGCCGGGACCACAAATGCTCAAGACACTTCCAGCCTCTCCGCCCTTCATTTTTCAGGACTGCGAGTTGAACCCAGGGCCTTCACACTAAGCTGTGAAGGCCTCTTTCTTAGAAAGATTCTCCCTACACAGTTCAGGCTGGCCTTGAGCTCACTTTGTAGCCCACGTTAGACTTGAACTTGCAATAATCATCTGCCTCAGTTTTGTTTTGTTTTTTTAATTTGGAAACAGTCTCAATATGTAGCCCAGGCTGGCTTTGAACTTGCAGTGATCCTGCCTCAGCCTCCCGGGTGCTGGGGTTACAGGCACGCGCCACCGTACTGGTTGAAACACTAAATTTAAATTGGAGACATTAAATCACTAGATTGGCCCAGATTGGGTTCGTCCAAACTTTCAGTCCTCCTGCCTCAGCCTCCCAGAGTGTAGGATTATAGGGGTTCACCACACCTGGATTTATTTTATTTTGTTTTTTAGTTTTGAGACAGGGTCCAGCTATGTATTCCAGATGGTTTTCAACTCACTACCTAGATCTCTCAGCCCTCCTGCCTCAGCCTCCCAGAGTGGTGGAATTAGAAGCATGCACCACCACTTCCCTCCAGCCCCTCTTTTTTTTTGAGATAGGGTCTCACTGTAAAGTTCAGGCTGGCCTCAAGCTCAGTGACCCTCCTGCCTCACCCTCTCAAGTGCTGTTATAGATGTGTGCCACCACACCCAACTGCTACTGCCTCTTAGATCCAATCATAGGCAGACATCCTAGTGATTTTATCTAATTCTAATCCTTCCCAAAGGCCCCACCTCTAAATATCACTATCAACATCAATTAAATTCCACCTTTTTTTTTGAGACAGGGTTGCACTACATAGCCCAGTTTGGCCTCAAACTCAAATTGATCCTCCTGCCTCAGCCTCCTAAGTGCTGGGGTTACAAGTGTGTGCACCACACTTGGGTTGTCCACCCTTTTTACACTTATCAGAAGGGAATTAAGCTTAACACATGTACCAGGTCTGGTGGCACACACCTATAATCCCAACCCTGGGAAGGCTGAGACAGGAAGATCACCATGAACTGGAGGCCAACCTGGACTGCATAGTGGGCACTGTCTCAAAAAACTAAGGGAAGATATTTTTTAACACATGACATGCTGTAGTCTCTCCCCAAATTGTGTCAATCTTTCACCTTCACATGTGAGCCCTTAGCCCTTGGGGACGTTCAAACCATTGCACAGTCTTCCCTGGGGAGCAAGTTCTCAGGGTCACATTTCTCTCTTGCAGCCGCTGTAACCAGTAGTTTGGGACACGTTGCCATAGGGCTCTGGGAAGCTCCTCTGGTCACCATCATTGCTGATGGTGCTGCAGTTCTGAGCTCTCCTTATCAAAACCAAACTGCAGCCGTTGGGCCTCCGTACTGAGCCCCTTGCCCACCCTTTTGTATTTTTTATTTCTAGGTGGGGTCTCCCTGAGTGGCTGAGTTGCCCAGGGTAGCTTTGAACTTTGCATCCTCCTGCCTCAGCCTCCCAGAATGCCTCAGTGACAGCCTGCAGCAGCAGAGCCAGCTGCTTTCCGGAGCTCTCTGCTCCCACACAGGGCTGTCGTCTAGGCTCCCTAGGACTGAGGTGTGGGCCTTGGCCCGAGCAAGCTGTCTCACTTTCTCATCTGTGTCCTAGCTGCAGTGATCTGTGTGCAGTGACCTTTGCAGCTGCTACAATTGTTACCGCTTTGGGGATGCTGCAAGCTGTACCCCAGAAGGTGGTGAGCCCCACGTGTGTGTTCCGAGCTCCCCACCAGTGCCTCCCTGTTCCCTAGATGGAGCCACATGGGAATCAGGCCACTTAATAGCTCCACAGTGGCTCTACGTGTTCAAGGCCCCACCTCTCTCACCGTAAATCAAAAGCGCCAGTCACAGTGGTGCCTGCCTGAAATCCCAGCACTGAGGCAGGAGGCTAAGGCAGGAGGATCCCCTCGAGTCTGAGCCCAGTGTGGGCTACATAGTAAGAACCTGTCTTAAAAAATCAAAAACTACTGAAGATCATTGTGCTGACCAGGAGACACCCAGATATCGCTGGCATCATAGAGAAGGGCCCCACAGGCTGGAGCTCCCGAATCAGCAGAAGCGGGTCACGGAGGACTGTAGCTCATCCACTCACCACACGGCTTCCTGAATAACCACGCTCACTGCGAGAGGAAACGTCGCTTCTCCGGACAGTGCACGTGGCCTTGCAGCTGTCATGGAGCTGCACGGAGAGCTGTTGTCCTGCCCGATGACAAAATCCAGGCTGCAGTGGAGTGAGGGGTCCTTCAGACTGAGACATCTTCTTACTCCTGCCCGAGCGCTGGGGAGGTGGAGGTGGGCAGAGGCCCTGAGGCTGAGCCGCACCGCACCCCGCCCACAGGACTGAGCTGTATAGACGGGGTTCTTTCTAGGGATCCACAAATGCAGTCGTTTCTTCCGAAAAAATTACTTCAAAACCTACTGCCAAGTTTCCCCATGTACTGGCCTGTGCCACTACACAGTGCATTCAAGGCCAGTCTGAATTACACAGCAAGAGTGGCCTAAAATAAATAAATAAATGAAATAAAAAGATCTATCCAGAAAATAGACTTGAAAACTAGAGATCAACAAAATGCCAGCCCCAATCTGCCTGTCCCCTGTCCCCATCTAATCTGCAGTCACGTTTTCTGGCTCAGTGGCTACTATGTAAGACATATTTGCTTGGATTTTTTTTTTTTTTTTTTTTGGAAACAGGGTCTCACCATGTAGCCCAGACTGGCCTAGAACTCTTGGCTATCCTGCCTCAGCCTCCTGAGTGCTAGGATTACAGGCATGTGCCACCATGCCCACAAGGCAAGTATTTTTGATCTCCAGTCTTTATTTTTTTTCTTTCTCATCTTTTTGAAACAGGGATCACTATGTTCAGGCTGGCGTTAAACTCCCTTAAGTAGCCCAGGCCAGCCTTTGACCCATGACAATCCTCCTGCCTCAGCCTCTGAGTGCCTCCAAGCTTGACTGTCTAGCTTTTTTTTTTTTTTTTTTTTTGGTCTTTTGAGACAGGGTCTCATGCTTTGCAGTTCAGGCTAGACTTGAGCTCACTTTGTAGTCTAGGCTAGTCTTGAACTCCCAGGGATCTTCCTGCCTCAGCCTCCCGAGTGCTGGGATTACTGGCATGAACCACCATGCCTAGCTTGACTGTATTGCTTTTAAAATGCTAGGGTTCATCTGAGCCATGGTGAGTCTTCGTGCAGTGGGGGCCTGGCAGCTGCTGACTGAGCACAGTGCTCCCAACCTGTGACCATTGATTAAACTAAGACCACAGAGTTTGCCACTTGAGTTCATCTTTTTACCAAAGGGGACCTGTGCTCCTGCCTACTGGTGTGGGCTATGCAGGGCCCAGGCCGCTGCTCCTGATTGCTCCAGGACCGCCCGGGTGGCCCACACTGTTGTGCAGTCAGCTCTGCAGTGCTGGGCACCTTTCTTCTGATCTCTCAGCTCCTCTGAGGCGAGCCTCGGCAGAGCTGGAATCTAACCCTAACCCTAAGGCTTCAGCTAGAGTTCTCCTCTGCCTGTGGCTCACATCCTACAACTGAGCCTCAGCCCCAGGTCAAGGTCACCTCTGTGTAGGGAGACAAGGGCACCAAACACAGAGAGAGCCCAGTGGAGGCCAAGCAAAGTTAGGGGGTGGTGTTCAAGGTACTGAGGGCAGGATCCAGACAATCTCTGTCATGGCAGCTGGGAGGGTGCAGGCGGGGACCAAGACCTGCGGTGGCAGGAACCCTGGGCCCCAATCCCTGAAGTAAGGATGCATGGGGAAGGCATCGGGGACTCCCTTGCTGTCCCCAGCCAGTGTTCCCAAGCTCCCAGGGTGGTGGCAGATGTCTAGCAGGTACTCTCGGGCACTGTCTTTCTCCCCAGATTGACCAGGATGGGCTCACCCTGCCAGAAAAGACCCTGTACCTGGCTCAGGACAAAGAGAGCGAGAAGGTACCAGCCTGCTGGGGCTGCAGAGCAGCCTGAGCCCAGAATGGGGGTGGGGGCATCCCCGGGCTCCACTGCCCCCCTTGAGGAGCCCCGCCCCACACAGGTCCTGATGGCCTATAGGGTGTTCATAGAGTGCCTGCTCAGCCTGCTGGACCCCGACTCCGTGCAGCAGAAGGCTCAGGAGATCCTGCATCTGTAGCGGCAGCTGGCCAATGTGAGCCACACTGGGCGGGGGCTGGGGCTGGGCTGGGTGGGGCAGAGGCCTGGGCAGGACCCAGGCTGGGGCGCTCAGAGGAGTCTCCTCCCCAGATCACCATGTTAGACTAAGACCACCTGTGAAGGGACATCAACGCCATGTACAACAAAGTCACGCTGGGCCAGCTGCAGAAGATCACCCCCGACGTGAGTGTGCTGCACTGGCGTGCAGGTGGGGCTGAGCCCAGGCCAGGGTCCGCCCCCACCGACATGCACACGGGGACAGTGTGCAGCTTTTCTGTGCACCTGGACTCCTCCCTGGAGATCCAGCCCCTCACCTCTCCTGACCCCTCCCTGTGCCCACCCTCGGCCCCACAGCTGCAGTGAAAGTGGCTGCTGGACTAGATCTTCCAGGAGGACTTCTCGGAGGACGAGGAGGTGGTGCTGCTGGCCACGGACTACATGCAGCAGGTGTCCCAGCTCATCCGCTCCACGCCCCACAGGTGGGCTGCTGCCCTGCCCCCACCGTCTGCAGGGCTCCGCTCTGCCCTATCTGTCCGCATGGCAGCCTCTGAGCGTCCACTGCCACCTCTGTGCCAAAGCCACCGTGGGCCAACAGCTGGGGCACCAGACCCCTGTGTTCAGAGGCTGGTGCTGCCCCCTGCGCTGTGGGAGCTGGGCAGGCTGGGAGCGTCCGGAGCTGCTCGCCTCTCTGTGAGTGCTGAGGCTGAGACTGGCGTCTCTGTGGGAACGGGTGGCCACGATACTGCTGCCCAAGGTCACCTCGGGGAGGGCCTCCAGTCTGTGCCCCTGTTGGGGGAGGCACAGAGGTTCAAGGCCACCTCTGAGACAGACAGCCCTGAGCACCCAGGGCCCCATCCAGAGGAAGAAGGGAAATGTGGCTGGTGGAGCCCTTTGTGGCTCTGCTTTGTGACAGTCCTGTGTGACTGGGGCTCAGGAAGGTCATGATGAACCAGGAATGGTGGCACACCAGCAACTGGAACTGGGAGGCTGAGGCAGGATTATTGACTCACCTTCAGGTTCAACCCAGGTTAATAGTGAATTAAGTCCACTTTGGACTATACAGAGAGATCTCGCCACAAAAAATAAAATAAAAATGAAAATAAAATTGAAAGCGGAGGGGGGGGGTGTCTCTGCAAATCCTGCTGAACTTGCGCCCCGCATGGGTCCCCTGGATGGGCCGGCGATCCCTAGGCGCATCAGGTGTGGCACATAGTGACCCTGTGTGACCCCCGTCGAGCTGATCCGTGGCTGCTGCGCCTCTGCCCAGGACAGCGCGGCAGCGACCTTGCCCCTTGGACTGTGTCTCCTCCGCAGGCAGCGCTGGGACGTGGGGAAGGTGTGAAACCGGACCAGCAGCCTGCGACCTCCAGGCCAAAGCGGGGACGCGGCCCCGCGGTCCCCTCAGCCCCCGCCGCTCCTCTGTGAGTCTTCCCCAGACGCCCGGCAGCCCCCAGCCCGGCCCAGCGCGGTCTCACCCGCCTGCCTCTTTGGGCGACAGCCAGCGCGGCCAACACTGTCCGGCCATCCCGCGATCTTTATTGTTGCTTTTGCTCCTCAGCCGGGCCCAAGGGAGGCGGCCCGGGGCCTCCAGCTGCAGCGGGGAACAGAGCGCTGTCCCCGGCAGGCTGGAAGTGACTCACAGGCACGGGGTGCAGCGGGGCGCTGGGGGACCCGGTGCAGCCCGGGGGTCCCGGAGGTGCGGCCCGCGGAGCGCAGAGGCCGATTCGCAGCCCGGCAGGCGGGGCGGCTCTACGGAGGCCAGGAAAGGGCGCGGGGGTCGTGGAGGTCGCAATGGAGGTCGCTGAGTGGGCCCCCTGGAGGCAGGGTGGCGAGGGTGGAGGACACACGCAACACCCGTGAGGACCCACTGGGCCTGCCATCAGGGCGCAGTGGTGGCCAGCAGCAGCAGGAGCACAGTCCCGGCCAGGAGCGGCAGCGAAGGCAGCGCAGAGTCTGGACCAGCGCCTATGGGGGTATCCATGGAGGGGGGCGGCTGCAGGCCGCAGTCGGTGTAGGGCTCCAGGCAGCCAGCAAAGGCCATGAGGTGCGCCACGTAGCTCTGCTCCTGCACGCCGTGCATGAGGTGCGCCTGCGGGCCGCGCGCAAACACGGCCACGTCCTCGCCACCGTGCGTCTCCGAGGACAGGGGCACGGCCGCCTGCTGCAAGTAGCTGGAGTTGTCTGGGGATGGGGGGGACACCGCAGTCAGCAGAGCTTTCCAGGGGAGCCACCGCCTCCTCTTTCCAGTCTACCCCGGACTTCAGAGAGATGAGGGTGGGGGGTTGGCAGCACTCACAGATCTCACTGTCGCTGACCTCAGGCCTGGGGGAACCAGGGTACCCAGGGCCATTTCCATACAGGATGGAGGTGTAGTTTTTATCATCTGAGGCCAAGGAGGGGGCCAGCCCTGCAGGCGGAGAGGGGTGCATGTTGGCACTGACCGTCACTGGCGGTCATGTGTCTGACTCACTCCCTCACCTTGAGCATTGTTTTGGGCTTAATCCTCCCAAGATTCCAGCGAAGCAGTACTATCCATGTGCCCATTGGACAGAGCAGGAAACTGAGGCTCAGAGAAATCTTTGCCATCAGATTTAGTGACAGCACCCACCACAGTCCTCAGCCTACCAAAGATGGAGGTCCCCCGCAGGGTGTAGCCCCCAAAGGAGAAGACGTGGGAGTGATCAGCAGTGACTAGAATCAGGGTGTCCTGCTCGTTGGTGAGCTGGCTGGCCTTGTCAATAGCAGAGTCGAACACAACCGCCTCATGCAGGGCACGATAGCCCGAGCCCTCATGGTGTCCGTGGTCAATGCGGCCTCCTGTGGAGGTCAAGGGGGCAGAGATGCAATGCCCGATCCCTTTCCAGATGCCCCTTCCCTGCCTGGCTTTGCTGTGCCAGGAACCCCCACTCACCCTCCACGAAGAGGTAGAAACCTCTGGGGTTCCTGCTCAGCATGTGCACAGCCACCTCTGTCATCTCTACCAGGGAAGGGTCCAGCTCACGGTCTTGGTAGAAATCATATTTCATATCCGAGGGCTCAAAGAGGCCTGAGGGACAAGGGACCCCAGGGTGACTGCCAGGTTTTGTAGCCGGAGTGGGGGGCATGGCACACAGCAGCTGTCGAGGCCACCTGAGGGCCAGGGCAGGGCGCTCACCCATGATGCGAGTCACCTCTGGGTTCTGGGACGCCTGCATGAGCTCTGTGCGGTTCCACACATAGCGGGACCCCTGTGGGGACAGCCAGGCCTCAGCCCAGAGCCAGAGACCCATGGCCTGGGCCCCCCACAGCCCTGGCCCTGTCTCCCCATCCCCGTCCTGCGCCCCATCACCTGGTGCTTTGCGAGCCATTCCTGCACCAGGTCCTTCCCGTCCAGCCTAAGTCCTGCCTGGTTGGTGTCGTTTAGGTACTCAGGGTCTGGGGTCCCTCGGGGGAACATATACCTGCGGCCTCCACCCAGGATCACCTGTGGTGGTCAGAGATGAGGACGGTGGAGCTGGGCTGAAGGCCCCCCCCATCCCCTCCTCCCAGGCCCGGCATCCCCTCCAGGCCCATGGGGAGCCTGCCCTGGGCATAGTCTCCTCCACTGGCCCTGCTGCAACTCTGGGAGACCCAGGCAGCCTGCAGGGCTGAGCTGCAGGACACACCTGGGACTTTGGCCAGTGACAGGTCCCACCTTCCACCCAGCCCCTGTCTGCCCTTTGATCTCACGTCAATGTCCATGTTGGAGACGAGCTGTGTGGCGATGTCCTGGCAGCCATCTTCTCGTGCTGAGGCGGGCATGTTGGCATCTGAGTACCAGTTGCGGTTCACAGTGTGCGCATATGTGCCAGCTGGAGAGGCGTGCTGGACCCTGGTGGTGGTCACTATCCCCACAGACTTCCCTGCAGAAGAGAGAGGACTCAGTGGGTATCTCAGGCCTTTGGGCACACTCTTGTCCCCAAGGCTGGCCTCAGACCCACCTGCTTTCTTGGCCCGGTACATCACGGAGAGGACCTCGTTGCCCTGGGTTGTGTTGCACTGACTGACTCGAGCAGCCGCACTCAGGCCGATCGTCTGGTAGTTGGCTTTGACACCACACAGGTACGCGGTGGCTGTGCCTGCACTGTCTGGCACCTGCCTGTCCACGTTGTATGTCTGGGGACAGAGACACCATCAGTGCATGCCTGGGCTCAGTCCTGTGCCCACTGCCCCGTGCCCTTCCTTAGATCCTAGTCCCCCTCGGCGGGCTCCCCTGGGTCACAGTCCTGCCCCATCCCAGCCCCTGCTCACCTTAGACAGTGCCAGGTACGGGAACTTGTCCATTGCCAGAGGCGTCTCCGGCCCCAGCTGGCCCTGCTTTTGCCCCTTCAGGATCCTGGTGGCGGTCACCGTGGGCACCCCCATCCCTGAGGGTGGAACCTGTCAGGCTGGGCCCAGGGCTGGTGTGGACTCAGGGGCCCCACGCTCACTCACCATCCCCCAGGAACAGGATGAGGTTCTTAGCCGCCGTGTCAATGGGCTGCAGCTTCTTAGCTGCTGCCAGGGCGTCAGCTGCCTTTTGGTTCCAGAAGTTCGGGCTCTCCTCCTCCGCTGCCCAAGGGAGAGAGTCCAGGTCAGCTGAGGTCAGGGTGGCCCTTGATTAGTTCTTGGAGGAGCCTCATTACCTGGGATGATGCTGAGGGTCGGCTGTAGCCGGAGGCCCAGCAGCTGTAGCAGCAGAAGTGATAGCAGTGTCCAGGCTCCCAGCATGTCTGCGGATGGTGCTGCGTGCTGCAGCTGGCACAGCAGAGGACCAGCTCCTGCACAAAAGTCTCTGCTTATGTCAAGGAGGACTTTGGTCCCAGCTGTAAAAGTTCCCTGTTCCAGGCAACTTCTCTGACCCACCCCTGCCCTGGGAGCTCAGGGAAGGTACAAGATAAGACCAGGCAAGCATGAACGGGTTCCCACACAGCCAGCCCGGCATGGGCCAGGTGGGACCAATGCCCTTAGCTGAGGAGCTTTTCCCAGGCTAGACAGCAGCTGGCTGAGGCCCTGTCTGGGGTGCTGAAGGGAGCAGGGGTCTGGGGTGCAGCCTGGGCCTGAGGCTCTGCTTTGGCTTCCAGATGCTGGGAGCCCCAGAAAGGGGGGGCTGTTGCAGGTAGAACTCTGTCACACAACTGTCTTCCCACCAGGCTTGGCAAGAGCACCCAGGAATATGGGACCAGACAGAGTTGGTGAGAAGGTGTAGGGCTGGTGGGGCCAGGCCCGTGTGTAGTGAGCCTGCCTTGTGTGTGTGTGTGTGTGTGTGTGTGTGCACGCATGTGTGTTCACCTGTGTAGGCAATGGTAGGGCCAGTGCCCTGAGACAGTCCACTTGTGAGCTGGACCTTTTAGAGTGGCCAGAAGGCTTGAGCCAATAAGGTTGAGCCTGTTACCAAGGGAACAGCAGATGGGGACTGGGGGTGAATCCTGGGCCACCCCCAGCCTCTGAGAAGAAGCTGCGCTTCTTGAGCTTCAGGCTGTGCTTGAGTATTTCTGCAGTCCAGCAATCCCTCTACGGAATGCATGGCCCCAGGAATCAGAAGCACCATCTCCATCTTCTTGTCACTGGGACAGAATTCCCAACACCTGATACTTGAAGGAAGGATGTCTCACATTTTTGGTCCATAGTTGGCCAGCTCTGAGGGGACAGTGGAAAGACCAGTAGCAGAAAGCTGCTCACCTTGGGGCGGCCAGGGGCAGAGCTGGAAGGGAGGACCTGAGGCGACTTACTCTAGGGCTACTTCCTTCACCAGCCAGCTCCAAACCTTTTCAAACTCCAGCATGCCAGTTCGCGTGGGAGCACGCCAGTCCACAGGGTCAGGTAGCATTGCAGCAGGGCCCCCTCTGTACCAAAGTCTCTTAGTCACACAACATCTGTCTTAGTCACTTCTACTGTCTCAGTGCTGAGACACAGTAGCCATGGTGCAAAGGCTTGGTGCAGGAGAGCTGCCCCTTCCTGGTGGCTGGAAAGCAGAATTAGGAGGGAGGAGCCAGGAAAGGCCATAGCCATCCAAGCCACACCCCAGCAACCCACCACTTCCGGCTGCACCGCCTAGCCCTGCATTTCAGTGTGGCACCCCCGGATTCAATCACCTTTTGAAAGCCCCACATACGAGCACATGAGGCTTTGGAGTGACATTGAGCTGCCCAAGACTCAGTTCTGGGGAGCAGAAGGTGGCATGATTCAGTCTCCAGGAGGCAGGAGCAACCCAGGGCTGTGGTTAGGAAACACCTCATGTCCCCAGATGCTCATGTGTTGGAAGCTCCACCTCCAGGGAGGTGACGGAGTCAGGACCTTTACACAGTGGAGGTGACAATGACAGTTGGGGCTGTCATTAGAAAAGTCCCCTGCGGTTCTCTTGGGGCCCCAGTTAGTTCCTAAGGACCTGGGTTGTCATCAACAAGCAAGACCCGCTCCCCTTCCTCTCTGTATCTCATCTCTCTGTGTGAGCTTCTCTCTCCTGCCCACTGGCACCACAAGGACACCTGTCCCAGTACACAGCCAACCCCACTGGCAGAGCTGAGCACTGGGCCTCGAGCTTCCAAGTCTGTGAGCTCAGCAGACTGTTGTACCCCAAAACAAGGCCCCAAGATATTAATCAAAAATGGGGGGGGGGGCAAGATGTCTTTAAAAGAGCATTTTATTTAAGCTGGTACCCAGTAGCACAGTGCAGATGGAGTTTGCAAAGCTGTGTAACTGGGCTAGAATTTTGACAAATTTTTATAGTTCATTTACGATTAGCTCATAGACCATTTAAGTACATATTGATGAGAAACAGAAACAAGGTGGGTCTTTGTTCCCCTTTGCTTGAGGTCAGAAGCATTTCACAGTGGGTGGTTAGCCAATTCATAGCCCTTGGTCTGCCAATTCCAGGAACATTTGTCTCTCACAAAGGGAACAATGGTTGCTACTCATTTGTCTCTTACAAGGGGAACAAAGGTTGACACAACAAACAGGTTATTCAGGGGACTGACACATACAGAACAGCATGATGACGAGGTGAGTTAATCTATAACCATGTGGTTACTAGGGTAACAAGCACAGCACAGAATGACAATACTGCTAATAACTATCTTTTTAACTTTGCATTTAATTTTTTAGCATTTTAGTACAACACAGACATCTTCTCTTTGTCCTCCACCCTTTCTGCTGATTGGTCAGCACAGAAAGGTTAATGGACCCGGTTCTGTGGATGGATGCGTGATACACAGTGTGGACCGCATGTGTGACATCATCACTCAGCCTTCACAAGGGCAGGGAATCCCGTCAAGGCCACCATAGGAACAAACGTGGTATCATCCTGCTATCTGAAATCAGCCAGTCACATATAGACAATGACCATGCAGTTCTCTGGTGTGGGTTCCAGGAAGGGTCAGAGGTCTAGAGACAGAATGGGCCGCTGGCACCTGGGGGCTGAGGGCAGACAGGAGTAGCGGGTTGCTTGCTAGGTTTGGGGCCTCAGGTTTATAGATGAAAATGCTCTGGGAATTGGCAGCCCAGCTACACATGAATGCCTTTCCTGCCGCTGGACTGTGTAATTCAAAGAGTGGAGAGAGGTGGATTTTGTTGCTCATTTTAAAACCACTGTTCAAAGAATTTTCGGACCAAATCTTTCCTCCAGGTTCTGCGGCACATCCCACCCGCGGTAACCTCCTATGGTTTGTTTTGTCTCATTTATTTATTTAGAGATTATCTTGCTAAATTGCCCATGATGGCCTCAAACTTCTGATTGTCCTGCCTCAGCCTCCCAAGGGGCTGAGATGACAGCCGTGTGCCACTTCACATGGCCAGCAGCCTCCCTTTTTACTCAAGCCACCTTATCACATGAACCAAACCACAGGCCCGACCCGGAGTCCCCCGCTGCCCCCACTTGCCACTGTCGTGTGCCTGTCCCGTGTCTCTCCTTACCATGCCCACCTAGGTGTCCTCCAGCAGAACCCTCCTGCATCTTGCATCTCCATCTTGTCTATGTCCCCTAGTTGTCCTAGGGATTCAGGGACAGTATCACCTCAGGTCACCCTCATTGCCCACCGCTAGCTCCCAACTAGCTCTCTTTACCTCCTACCTATGCTGCCAGGAAGGCTTTTCTTCACTTTTCCCCAGAAAAATCTTCTTGGTCTCTGTTAATTATCCATAGTCATGCAGAAATGTGATCACTGTATGCATGCATATGCTGTGAAATGGTTAATTCTGGGTCAAAGGAGTTTCCTCCTCCATAAATGTGCCTTCAGATTAAAAAAGGGAAATTATTGGGTAAAGGTCATGGCTGAGCAGGACTGGGTGAGGCCTTAATCAAATAAATTGCTTTCTTTTGTGTCAGGACATAGGCTGAAGGTTCAGGACTCTGTCAACCGTCTCCACTCGACTTTGCAGCCTCTTAAGTCAGATTTTCACGTCACACTGAGCCATGTGTAGTTCTAGGAGGGGGTGACAGCAGCCTCAGTCACCTGCCAGGTCCCCTGGGATGGGGTCACCACCCGGACGTCCCCAGCTTGCTGTGGATGCGTGATGGGGTGCATTGGGCTCTGTGAAGTTTCATCCCCCGAGCACGCTGCTGGGACAGGCACGACCAGGAGACCACACAGCGGCAGCCTCAAGGACCCTGGTGACTACGTCACCCCACAGCCCCTGCAGCCTCTGTTGCTAGTGCCTGGCGACCATCAACTGTGACTGCTCCTCCAGTACTGTGTCATTTTTAAGAAGTCAGATCGATAGACTGAAGCCACTTGTAATCTTAAGGGATTCACTTTTATTTCACTCGACATGATTCCCTCGGGACTCGGCCTGGGATGGGCATGACCCAGCCAGTCTGCGCGGTCCAGCCACCTTCCCTGGGCTATGCTGCATGGCGCAGGAAACCATTTTGTTGGGAGCCGCGTCTGTGATAGCTCGCCTTGCGCGGCGGACGTGCGGCCTGTGGTAAAGAGCAAAGCCTGAGGTAGATTACCCCTCCCATCGAATATGTTAGTTTCCTGCTTACCGCGTAAACAACCCGCTCAACAATATAGTCTGCCTGGCAACTGATGATGTTAGCCAATCAGCTTGCCTTGCTTACTTTAACATGATTGGACACTGTACCCGTATATATACCGGTGCCACCCCTGGGCGGAAGAAGAAGCCAGGTAGAAGCCCAGAAGTAAAAGCCCAAAAGGAGCCGCGGAGAGCGGACCGGTAGAGGCTTTGGGGCAGACTGAAGCACAAAAGGAGCCGCGGGGAGCGGACCAGAGGAGGCTTCAGCTGGGAGAAGCCAGGGCAGGCTGTACGGAGAAGGAAAATAAAAAGAAAAGGTTGTCCACTACCAGACTTTGTCGTGTGTCCTTCCTGCCGGCCGGGAGCGGACATCGACATTTGGAGGCCCGCCCGGGGACTGATCACCCCCGAGACGTGGAAGTGGACAACGCTCCAGTACAGAGCTGCGAGACAGGTGAGTTGGGGATAAGCCTGGGCTCTGGGTGGCGCGCACCTACAGGGCTTTTAGACTCCCCTCAGGCTCACGCGTAAGTGGCGGATTCCTTGGGCCTCACGCGGTGAGTAACATATTAAAAGATGGGAAACATGTTAGGTAGCAACACTAAGAGCGAGGGTGGTTGTGGAGAAAGCTCTCAAGAGCTTACAAAAGTACGCAGGGTATCTGAGCAGGCCCAGTCAGGGAGCTCCCGAGAGGGGTCCGTCAAGGGGAACAAGGATGCTAAGGAGGAGGACGGGGCTCTAGCCTCGGAGTCGTCTGACTCCGAGGACGAGGGAAAGTTGAATGGCAAGGAGGCCAAAGAGACCAGCTGTCAGGAGCCTAAAT